TTCTATTCAAAATACATTCACACAATACTTTCTAAACCTGGACTATCTCTTCTTAAATAAAATTTTAGTAAACCTAACAATGTTAGAATTACATTACAGAACTGGAGCACCAGCAGCTGTCACCTGCTGCTTGGTCATGACCATCCCCTAACTCTTCATTCTGCTTCTCCTTGCCGTGGAGCAGCAGAGGCAAAGACCAGCTGACCAAGCCAATTGTGGATGAGGCTGATGCTCAGAGAGAGATGGAAAACCCAGGGAGAATGTACAGACGTGGCCAGCAGCTTCAGGAATTCCAGGGTTACCCTTCCACAGTGAGTCACTGACAGTCAGCCACCAAAGACAGAGAGAGGGTGGGTGCTAGACATAAACCCTCTGAGAAGTTTAAGCGTAGGCTGGGATGGACTCAGACCCTGCCTTCGGTAGTGAGAAACCTGGCCTGGAGAGTGTTGACATTAAGTCCAATAGTCTTCTCTGCCCCAATCCCACAGCCTACATTCAGCAAAGATCAGATGCTTAACTGCTTTTCTCATCTACCGACATCAGCAAGGCCATGCCTCTGCTTGGAAAGTCAGCATAGTCTGGAGGGAATGAACAGAGGGTACTCCAGTGCAGGAAGTACACCACACAAATGCACAGGCACTAAAGGTGGAAAGAAATTGTGACTTGCTGAATTCCAAGACTGCGGATCCTAGAAATAAATCACTTATTCAAAAACACAGAGGAATTTCTTTTGATTCAATATTTTTTATTATTTCTTATTTTACAAATTCAAAAAAACTGACAAAAAAAAATTGAAGACAAAATCAAAACAACACAAGAACATCAAAAATGATACATGACCTCAAGATAAAATGATAGAAATTTACAGTGCTTGCTACATTACATACTGTTATCTTCAATGAAGTTGCTCAGTCCATTAGACGTAACAGTGTAAGATTGCTCAAACAAGCAAAGACAGCAACAAGTAAAAAATACAACTGAAATAAAAATAAAAATAAAAATAATTTTAAAAAAACATTGGATATGATGCAGAGCTTCACCGTACAAAGTGGTAGGAGTTCAACAATGGTTCTTATACTGAATATTGTTTTCAGATCAGTCATTCTAATTTTATTATTATTTTTTCTTTTCTTCATCAGTTTTTGGGGGTTAGGCACCTTCTCACTCTCCTTTCTCTCTTTTTTTCTTTTCCCCTTTTATCCTTTTCTTTCTTTCTTCTATATTTCTTATACTTTACTCTGTTTTTTGTTCATCTCTTTTCTAGTCTGTTTTTTTCCTTAGACTGTTTTCTATTATTGTTATTTTTCTCTGACTACCTAATAAAATTCCCTATCTTTCTCATCTTCCACTGATAAATTCTACAAATTTTACTTTACAACTCCAAGTTCCCATCCCCTCTCCCTTTGCTATTATAACTGTAAAACGTTATGAATCTTTCTATAACTAGTTAACATTATGTATTGTTGTTGAATAATATTCCACTGTTAGTGGAGGTAAATAGTGCATTTAGTAAATATGTACTATAAATTGTTGATAAGAAAATCATGCAACATTATTGAGGGCAGGCAAAGAGGTTATCCATGTAGAAAAAAATTTAGCTATGGAGAGATGTAAGTGTAAAATTATATCATTAGTTATCTTTTCTACTGCCTACTTTTAGAATTATTTTTAATTTCTATTACTATGCATTTACAGCACATAGTTATTTCATTCACCCTGGGGAGTTGGTACATATACATGATATGTTTTAGTTCATTATTCCTCCCCTAAAATTTTCTACACTTAAGAATCTCTAGCTGTATACATGTTCCAGCACATACAGGAGACTCTCAGACAATTAGATACCTGTCAATAACCTGGGCACAATTGACGGAACAGATCTTTTCTGACAGATTTTAGATTTGGAAAAGTATTAGTAACTACATGTCTTTCATCATCCCCCTTTAGCTCTAAGATTTTTCATAGAATCTGAGTTAATCCCAGGTGGATGTTGCAGACCCGGCTCCTAAAGAGGACATCACACCTCTGAGGCTAGTCCCTGCTTTGAAGAAATAATCATTGCTTGAAGGTTCCTAGACGGAGAATATTTAGTTACTTTTTCAGAAGTAACAAGAACAGAAAAATATTAAGTAATTCTCTAACAGTGATTGGAGATCATTTGTAGTGTGGCAAAAGAAAATCTGAGGTACAGACAACTTGTAGACTGAAAAGAAAATCTTTTAAACAACTTTCAAGTCTTTAGCAAATTTACACCTGAAAGAAACAAAATACCATTTATTTTTGTAAATATGATGTTATCATAGTTGTACCATAGAAAACTGCAACAGTACTATTACCAGTGTGACCATTATTACTATTATATTATTACTATTATTAAAATGACTGAAAGAGTTAAAATATTCTGAGAATTCAAAAGATAAATATAAGTAAAAGCAGCAATTTTTACCTCCTTAATGACAACATTCTATACATTTTTCTGGTGGCTTAGGTTAATTTTTTATTGATATTTATATTTGCAATACACAAAAATTATATTCATCATAAATTATATATATGTTGCAATAATTTTTATTTCTTTTTTACATCTTCACGAAGTCTACCCACATATATCTCTTTTATTTTTCTCTTTAAATCTTTTAGTTTTCTCTTTAAATTATTTATATTTGGATGGTCTCATATAAGTGAAAATAAATGATATCATCTTCTTGATGTATTTTGCTTAGCATTATTGTTTCATTTTCTTGCAAATGTCTCATATTTTTTGTTCTTTATGGCAGAGTAGTTTGGACTTTATGAGTTTGAGAATGTAACACACTATTTTGACAACCCTTTGAATCTCCTAACTCTGACTTGGGAATAAAGTCATTTGCAAATAAAGAGTTTTTTCGTTTCTCCTTTTCACTATTTGCATCTTTGCCTTATTGTCCTGGCTAAAAGATCTCAAACACAGTATGGAAGTGATTTAAAAAGACTTCCTTGAATTGTTTCTGATTTTAGGGACAAGTGTTCAAAATTTGCCCTTAATTGAGAAGTGAAGCAAGAGTTTTTCGTAGACTCTGACTTGAATTTATCTGAGCCCTGTTGAGTTTGTTAACATTTTAAATATCCTAGAACGGTTGTCTGTTTTTTTTTTTTTTTTTTTGTCTTCAACTATACAGTTAAATTTGTCAATACAAAAAGCAAAAGTAATCTGCCATTCCTACCTGGAGTATACTGAGGAATAGTTATTATCATGTAATTTTTGAGTACATTTAATTTGCTAATATTCTGTTAAGCATTTTCATCTCCATCTTCATGATGGATATGTGGTTTATGATGTAATTAACAGCTGTTGGAATCAAAGAAATATTCAACTCATCATATGAATTGAAGGTATTATTTTGCTAGACTGACTGAAAAGATTTGAGAGTGATGATTGTTTCTTCTTAAATATTTGGTGCAATTCTCACAGAAAAGTAACTTCAATTTATGAGTATGTTTTAATATAAGAGATCCACTGCCTTATAATGGTAGTGATTCTTATAATATACATAGAGTGGTACCTCTGTTCATACATTTAACTTGTTCCACCATTCTGGGGAAAAATGGCCACGTTCATGTTCATGCAAGGAAGATGGCTGCAGTTTTGTTTGCCACCTGATCCAGAGCTCATGAATGTTACCAAAATTTTGCCAAATGCGCTGGACCCTTCACTTATGAATTCAATTCATTTCTGAAGGCTGCTTGTAACTCAAGTGGTCAACTGAAGGCTCAGGCTCCTGTATACAGCCTTCAAAATCTCTCTCCTCTGAGATCTCTCATATCTCAGGGTCCTTAGAGGACATTCTCAAGCGCCCTGTACAGGAAAGGGTGTTGTAATGTTCCTTCCAGACCTTCTTAAGCATTAAATCTATACCTGAGACCATCTGGAAGAGAAAGTGGCCACCACTTAGGTCATAATTCAAGACTTTGATCATAAGTTAAAACTAAAATTCTGGTCACAACCCCAGTTGTTCGTATGTTATGCTGGTCATAACTAGGGGGTCCAGTGTGCTGTTTATGAAATAAATTGTTCTCTAACAGAAGCATATGTGAACTGAGGTATTACTGTATCTCTTTCTAGTGTTTGAAATTTGTATCCTTCAAAAATTGTGTTCATTTTATTTACATTGTTGATTTAGTTTGCTCATATTTACTCACAGAAGTCGAGTTTTTATATGCAATGATAGCTTTTTTATATCACTTTCTGTCTCTCTGTCTGTCTCTCTCTCTGTGTTTGTACTTCCCCAAATATTTGTTTTGTATTTACTTGATTGCTAATCTATCATGATCATTTCCTCACTTCACTTTACTTTTTATTACAACTATGTATTAATAATTTGCTATTCTTTACTTCTTAAAATTAAAACAGACTACTTGCTGCTTTACATAGAAAGCAGTAGAATAAACTTGTAAGTAATAAATGTGAATTTCAAAAACAGGTGACAGAGATGTTATAACTGACCAAAACGCAAATCCTAACATATCTAAATTATTCATTCATCTGAAAGTATCAACTCAAATCAATGAACTTAATTGTAAACTTAATAATGATATTTATCTGAAACCTTAAGTATTTGGAAATCAGGTACCACATTCTCAGTAAGTCATGAGATAGATCAAAAATCATAGAGAACACTGTCCTTAGTTTTCATTAAATAAAAGTGAAGATATAGAATAAAATGAGATGCAGCAAAATCATTGATTAAATTAATTCATAAATGAAAAAGTACAAAGTCACCAAGGTTTTTAAAAGCAATATGTAAAAATATTGTAAATTAGTTGAAAGTAAAGAGAAAATAAACACATCTGATTTATTATATATTGATGTTAATCTTTTTATATTCATTGAGCAATAAATTTGGAGTAAATGTTTTTATGTTCCAGAATGATAACACAAAATAACATAGTACAAAGCATCCATACTGTTGTGGTACTTAAAAAATAACACCATCTTCTTCTTGGTCATGAATATTCAACAATCACTGCTGGGATCCACAATTCAGAAGAAACATCTGGGCCACGCGCTTACGAATCACCACATTTTTTACCCCATAGACAACAGGGTTGAGAGCAGGCGGCAGCAGAAGGTAGATGGTGGACAGGAGAATGTGAGTTGGGGGAGCAACATGCCCAAAACGGTGGCTGAAGAAGGAAAAGAAGGCAAGGATATAAAATTCAAGAAACACAAAAATATGAGCTGTGCACGTATTGAATGCTTTGAGTCGTGCTTCCTTTTGCTGTAGACGAAAAACAGCCTGAAAAATCAGGGAGTAGGAGATGAGGATACAAATCATGTCAAATCCCAGAATGCTGAATCCCACAAAAAGACCACAGATCTTGTTGACTCGGGCGTCTTCTGCGGCCAGCTTGACCACGGCCATGTGCTCACAGTAAGAGTGGGCAATGTGCACAGAGTGGAACACATGCAGCCTTTTGATGAGGATGGGAAGCAGACCAACCAGCACCACGGCGCGGGTGGCCACCGCTGCCATCAGACGGCCCAGGATGGAAGGTGTGAGGATGGACGTGTGTCTCAGAGGATCACAGATGGCAACGTAGCGGTCAAAGGCCATCGCCAACAGAATGCCGGACTCCATGCACTGCAAAGCATGGATGAAGAACAGCTGGGTGAGGCAAGCATCAAAGGCCATGGAGAAAGACTGGAACCAGAAGATGGCAAACATCTTGGGAGCGATGGCTGCACAGAGTCCTATGTCAGTGGCTGCTGGCACAGCCAGGAAGATGTACATAGGCTGGTGCAAGCTGCGCTCTGCAGGGATGACGATGAGCAAAATGATGTTTCCCAAAATTGCTGCTATGCACACAGCAAAGAAAGGAAACCCAATCCAAAATTGCACATGCTGCAGCCCAGGAATGCCAATCAAGTTTACAGTTGTAGGGTTCAAATATGATACGTTCATGGGTTTTATAGAGGTTGATATTCTGCCTTCCTTTGGTTGATTCTGATTCCTGTAGAAAAGAATTTGGATGGATAGTGAAAAGGTCTCAGCTTTAGTGTCTTTCAGCCATTTTCTTTAAGTTATCATTGACTGCGTTCTGTATTGAGAAAAGAAATACTGTGCCTCTGGTGCTGGCTTGACCATAGTTTCATGAAGTCTTATAATACATTTCATGTTAACAGAAGCAAAGAATTATGAGGAACCTGTAGTAGAACCATCTAAAGGGAAAAATTTGAAAGTTCCAGAATCTCTCTCTCTTTCTCTCTGTCTGTGTCTCTGTCTCTCTCTCCCTCTCTCCCTGGCTCTCTCAGGACCCTTGAAATGAGCTTCCTTTGCAGGACTTTTTAGATTTCTCACTAAATTGCTAAATTACCAAGTTGAACTTCTCTCTCATCTTTCTGTGCTACCACACCAGGCCCCATTTTACTCTTGTTAAAGACAGAGAATACTGATCTTTTACATTTTCCCTGACTTACTTCTAGATAGATATGTTTAGAAAGTTTCCTTTAGTTATTTTTTGTCTCTCTCATTCTAGTGAGAAATACACTTTGTCACACTTAGCAGTTGTTGTGTGAAACTTGAAGGCTCCAAAGAAATTTCTTTCCATTTACCCGATAGGCATCATGATGCAATGACATACAGCCTCACTGTTCAGATGCCCTGCTGTGAGCCCAATGTCAATTTTGTATTCTCAAATGGAATCTGATAGAGAAGAATTTATCCACTCAGCTCTTTCATCAAAATATGAAATAATCCCCTGCTTTTCAAGTCACTAACTGTCACCTCTAAAGGAGATTGAAAGGATAGTTTTCTTGCAGACAGCCATGAAAGGTGGCTTTCAATGTAAATTATGCCCCTTACAGTAGTTTGCTCAGTTGAGTAAAATAACGTAGAAGAGAGAAGCTGTTTTCACATGAACTTGGACAGCAAAAAAAGAATACAGGGATATAAAATTTATAAAAATGGACAATAGAAAATACAGCATGCAGTCAAATGCAGATACTGGCTAGTTTTAATACTAATGAACAAACTGTGGTCAAAATAGTCATAAATATGGGTTAAGGAAAAAACATTCCTGTGTAAAAGAATTTTCTTTGATACTTACATATAATATTTAGGGATATAGAGTGGAAGAGATGGTGCAGAAAGTAGACAGTGCTTCTAATAATAGATTTTATTATTTAATTGATGTGATTTTCTAGAAATTATAGAAACTGAAAAGGAAATAGATACAGTGTTATTCAGTGATTCCTAATAGTTTAATGCTATAAGTGGACATTGTACTGTACCTATGAAATTCGTTATAATGCCTTTATATAATCACTTGCCTAGTGTTTAACAAGTACTTAAAGTTGAGTTAAAAATCAGAAAGATGACAAGAATTGTTTCTTTGTATCCATTTACCACTTTTAAAGTATAGCCCTTACCCACAGTCTATTTATATGTAATATAGACACTGACTTCACTTACACCAATGACATAAATTATAGAATTATTTGCAGAATAATTTATACACTTAATACATGGTATGTTATGGAGAGCTTGATATGGTAACTTATGAAAAGTCTGATATTTTCTCCTAATAGAAACAGGCTGTGGAATATTAGAGTAAGTAAAAAAATAAACACAGAAAATGAAAACTTCTTGATGATAGAAATGAAGAGCACACCATGTGAGGAGGAAAATTCTAGAACAAAGAACTTTCTTCCGTCATTTTTATATATAAGATCAACACTCCTCCCAAGCAGTCATCAAAAGATTAAAATTGAAATAAAAATGTGACATACCAGTTCGCAGATTTTTTTTGCAAATAAAAATGGTCAAATTGCTTAAGAAATACTTTTGTAATAATTACCTGTCTTTTCTTGGTTTAGTAAGTATTGGGAATTGAATGGGAGAAATGTTTTTCTTTAAGCCATCTCTTTTAAGAGACAAGAGGCTATAAGTTTGATGACCTCAGTTTTTAAAAATAATCTAACTGCAATCATGGAAGGAGTTATCTTGATCCGACTGATAAGGTAGAAAAGGAAAATATATGATTTCTAAAAAAGGACAGAAGAAAAGAGGAATGTGGAATGCTTTTCTCCTGAAGTAGGAAAGATGGCTCTGCTGGACAAATGAATTGGACAGGAAATTGTTTCAAGAAATAATACTCTCTTGTCTTTTCACAAATATCTACATTACTCAGAAATCTCCAACATTTATGGAGAAAGCAACAATAGGTTGCCTTTAAATTACACTTTTTATTTTTTCATTGTTATTTAATTTTTTTATTTAAAAAATTTAAAAACTGACAAAACACCAATGAAGACAAAATCAAAACAACACAAAAACAACAAAAATGACACATGACCAAAAAACAAAATGATAGAAATTTACAATGGGTGTTATATTACTTACTGTTATTTTAATGAAGTTGTTCAGTCCTCTAGACAAAAAATGGAAGATAGATCAAAAATCAAAGACAGTAACAAGTAAAAAAGAAATAAAGAAGTGAATAAAACATTGGAAATGATGCAGAGCTTCACCATATAAGATGGTAAGAGTTCAACAATGGTTCTTATACTGCATACTGTTATTTTCAAATCAGTCATTCTGATTACCAAATTCAAAAATGCAAAATTGGTCAAGAAAAAAGAAAATTTTAAGCATTGACTGTTCCTGATGCAATAAACCACATCAGCAATACACCTATTCCAACTATCCTTATATATACATATATTTTGTTTTGAATTTTATATCATTTTTATTGCTCTCTATGCTATTTTGTTTATGTATTTTTTGTTATTTTGGTTTTTTAAAATATAAATTACACTTTTTCATTTTCAAAAAAATGAAGGAATATTAGTTGGAATTCAATCGACTATAATCTAGAAAGCTGGAGTACAAACTTGCTTATGTCATTAGTTACTTAGAAACCAGAGATACATAAAGATATTAACTAAATACCTGTCAAAATATTGGCAGTTTAACCTCCCTAATTTATTCCCTTATATATTTGTTTTCCAGCAGTGGGGATGGAACCCAGGGCCTTTGCACTGAGCTACATCCCTAATATTTTTCTCTTCTGAGACATGGTCTTACTTCTAAATTGCCCTGGCGAAGTTTGAGCTTGTGATTTACGCAGTCTGCTGGGATGGGATTACAAATGTGTGCCACCACGTCCAGCTACTTCTTCTTTGCAAAGAAACAAGTCATAAATACAGAGGGAAAAATCATAGCCAAGGAAGTCATTGAGGAAGGCAAGATTTAACATCCCCTTTTTATCAATTTTTCCTACCACAGCTGCCATCCCAGCAATTACCCATATTAGAGGCAGAAAGTTACCCGGCGAGCTGACCACTGGTCTGGCACATGAATAGGTTGCTTGCATCCATTTGTTTGCACCCGAAATTCTCAGCACATGTATATATTAAGATCACTACTGTCTTTAAAGGTTGGGCTGGTCCCAGAGCATCATTATCTTTCTGATGCCCCTAGAGTCTCATCATCCTTCTGAACCCCAGGGTTTTTTTATCACCTCTTTTGAGCCCTGTAACATGGAGCAGAAAGTTTTCCAATTATCACAAGAAAGTTGTCTCCCAAGATTAAGAACTAGGAGATATCTGGTTTTGGGTCACACTCAGAGGAAGGTCTTTCTGAATTATCCTAGAAGTGAGAAAAAGTTAATTTAAGGATGGAGATTTCCTACAGTAGAGAAATGAAGAGCAAATATCTTTTCTAAACCTTTTCAACTGGACAAGCATGAAGTACCAAAGAAAGAGTGATTGTTATAAATACCAATGTTGCTAGTATTATTACGACTGCAGAATAAATGTTACTCTTGGTTCCAAATATTTTATAATAAATTACAGGTTTTATTTGTTTGTCTTTGTTTTTTATTTTTTAATTTTTATTTTATTTTTGTTTTGTTTTGTTTTGGTTTGGTTTTTCTCCGGTACCGGGAACTGAACTCACTACCTTGCGCTTGCCAGGCAGGCGCTCTTGCCGCTGAGCTAAATCCCCAGCACCTGTCTTTGTTTTTTATGATGTCATGGACTGACTCACAAGTGATTTCCACATAGTAGATAATACTGCTTCACTGAGCTAAAACGCATCCACTAATTTTACTTTTGAGTGAAATTTAAATAAATTATTTTCAGAGACAAGTTTCTCCAAACAATCCAGCTTTTCATGAGATCGTTATTGTTTGGTTGGTGTTTTGGTTCTCAAAATTTACTTGACTTGGAGAAGAGAAGCAATGTTTTCAAGTATTACCTATGACCACCTTCATTTCCTTTTGTTTTCTCAATTTCTTCAGAAATGTATTAGTATTGGAGGGTTTTTTTTTAATCCATTTCACTAAGTTCCTCAAAGTCATCTCATCAATTATCTACTCTTTTTGGTAACTACCCATCTCCCTTATATATACCTCATGCATACACAAATGTTATTATTAAATCATTGTCTCTCTTTTCCAAAAGCAATCCAGAGACTTCCCATTATACATGATATTTAAATTCTAGTGAAAATTGTTTAGATCCATATTATTTTTCTCACATATTATATTAATATGTTTTTATCTTTCTCTCCACTGAAAATTTCCATACAAAAAAATACCTATCTACTTAATGGCCAGTGGTTGCAGTGTTTCATATTTGCTCAAGTGAAACAAGTATGCGAGTCCACAAAAAGATGTGTATGGTAAGTTTAGAGCAGCTTTTAAATACTAAAAGCAAAATTGAAATACCTCAAATGCCTACAAAAAGACAACAAGGTCTTAAGAATTATATCTGATGAGAGTTGACATGCATATACAGCTGAGTAAACATCAACTCCAGAATAAAATCCTGAAAGCATAATACTTGAGAAATTCCTGCTATGTTCCATTCCAGTTCTTTCCCCATCTCCCTTCTTCACTCTGGACATCTTGACATCTTCTTGTTTTTATTTTTTGCCAAAGATAACTTTTCCCCTTTCTTAGATTCCTTTTGAATTGAATCCTAAAATGCAACTTGGAATGAATTGAACAAACAGTGTAGAGACATATTTTAAATCCAGGGACTGCATTAGCAACAGAATTCATAAAACAATTTGCAGGGATCTATTCCCACTTAAATGATATTACAGTTTAAATATTTTGTAGAATATGCAGGACACGAATCCAGAGAAGCCAGCTGTGTTCAGAGTGAAAACTCTGTTACACATACATATATGAATATATGTATATATTTATGATAAATATATGTAAATAACTCAATTCATGAATGATTTTTCTCACAAAAAAATCAGTTCACTAACATAAGTCTCCAGAAACATTTTGCTTCCCTTTGCAAACTCCACATTGGGTGATGAACATGACTGGGCCGTCTTCTTCAGAATCATGGGGAAAATTAAGTTCACAAACTGAGACTATACATATTAACACATATATACATAAAACATCTTTAACATGGTAACATCATTAATATCTTTAGCATATTATTAACTTTATTCTATGTAGGAGAGACAACCTTTGATAGGCTATTGACCGTTAACAGAGGCTCAATGTAGTCATATTTTCATTTTCATTTTGTTAAAGTCAGTCTGAAAGTTATTTGATATATGAGTTTAATAGGAAAATGTTGT